CCTGCTCCTGATACACCGACCGATTCCTCGATCCGATATCCGAAGCAATACCGCGGTGGTGAGGGTATTCTCCGCCTGTTCAAATAATCGGCGTGAAAGAGCCGTCACTGGACGCAGTATCCATGGGCGTAGGGATACACGCGCCGCTCTACGGCGCATGCGCGGTAGCTCGTCGTTAGATCCTTCTCGTTGTTTTCCTCGCAAGCACTCTCTCCTCTCTCGAAAGTAGTTAGTTGTTACCTTGTTGGTGCTTAATCGCTTTCTAAGATGTTCACAGATTCAGAAAGAGCTCTCTCAGTGTGTGGTTCTCATTAATACGATTATCTCAAGAGGATAATGGACAACCTGTGGCCATCCAGAGATTCGCCGTGCCGCAAATATCAAAGTTAACCTGTCTCACCACACGTCTCGATGTATGGCTCAAATCCGCCATCAAGGAAATCGACTCACTAAAAGAAGGTGAGTAACCGTCTCAAGATCTACTCTTACGAAATTCTCGTTCTTCTGACAATGTGACGAAGAACTGATCACTTGATTTTCTCTCTACCTTTCTTCAAGCTCACTATACAGATTATTCTCGAGTCGAAGAAGGGTGATTATTCTCAAAGTTGATTCTCGAGTCCGAGTAAGTCTCACCTTAACGAATACTCTCGAGCTTACCGGACATCTCATTTCTAGCCTCAATCAGTGACAAATGCCATCAATTACGCAAAGATTGAACTCAAGGTTATGGCATCCTCGCACATAATTACGGTGCATTAAAGGAATTAATTTTAACGGATTTCAGGTTTCAAGTTCCTCGTGCTTTTGGTTCGTGCTGGGACTTACATTGTTATTTGTTATGATCGACTCACCATCACCTAATAATTGTATCAATATAATACTTTGCCGTTAGAATACAAAATTGATTCAATAAACTGTTCCACTGCTGGTTTCTAATTTCTCTTAAATTTCAGATTCTCTATACAAACCTTTTGAAGTATATCTCCTTTAAACACCGCCACTACCGGCATTTACCGGTCAGCTATTGCACTCGACTCCGCTCTCCGACTCACCGCTCCTCGCAAGCTCCTCGAACCGTCTCGCTGCACCGCGGCGGTAGGGCTCGCCCTGCCTCTGTCGGCCGTTTCCGACCAGCTGCAGCGACCGCTCCGAGAGCCTTGCAACAAGGCGATCGAGCCGAGAGTTCCGCTTATCCGTGATACGCGACCGGCTTCGACGAGAACCAAGGGGTTGGCGTTTTCCCGCCTCCGTCGGACGCTTCCGACAGTCGAAGTCGTGCCGTATCACCCGTGTAGGCAGAAAGCGCACATTTCGGGGCGACGTATCGCTCCTCGCGTTGCGACGCGTCGCGTAAACAACACGTGCAACCGGTGTAAGCCCGCGTCCCGCATACCGCGCGTCACCGAGCGAATCATGCGACCACGATTCGCGTTGCGAGTCGCGCCCGCCGCACGCATACACACCGCACACTCACAACGACACATATTTTGTACACACACGCATACACCGCCGTTCGTAACTGCCAGTCGCGACAACTGGTCTCACACGTACACACATACACATACACGCATTCACACTCTGTACTTAAACACACGAAATATACTATCGTTCTTATTACACATAGCCGTATTTCACTGCGTTATTACCGCCTTGCCTCTCTCCTCCTGACCTCTTTGCGACCCTGGCCGCAGCCCGTGACCGACGAGCTACGTCCGCGCAAAGTCAGGTTGTTTCATATGTATGCCAGAATGAAACGTTTTTCACGTGCCAATTATGTGCTCTATTGTCAATCCTTGTGCTCAAATAATTTACCAAAAAATCGCGATTGAAACTGGGGATGCTGGCTTAAGTGAGCACCTCTTTCATTAAATTACATACAAAATGAAAAAAGAAGTACAATAAAATTACTGAGTAGTACAGTAGTACAGTAAAATTAGTGAGTGAGCGCTTCGGGGGTGATTTACCGGTCAAAGGGGATGAGCACAAAAATCTTGTCGTACATATTTTGAAAGCACATAAATGGAGGAACAATTTGAGCCTAGGAACATTTCGCTACCTGCATTTTAACTGGCACTTTACTCTTGCAAGGGGAAGTGAGTGAGCGCTTCGGGGATGATTTACCGGTCAAAGGGGATGAGCACAAAAATCTTGTCGTACATATTTCGAAAGTACATAAATGGAGGAACAATTTGAGTCTAGGAACATTTCGCTACCTGCATTTTAACTGGCACTTTACTCTTGCAAGGGGAAGTGAGTGAGCGCTTCGGGGGTGATTTACCGGTCAAAGGAGATGAATACTAATATTTTTATTATGGTTTATTAAAAGCACATAATTAGCACAAAATTATAGTGTTATTATTTTTATTATTATTATTATTTTTTTAAATGCATTCTAACTTTATTAAAATTCAGCAGAAAACTCATTTTCCGCTAAACGGCTTGAGCACAAAAATCGGGATTACAGCAACAAATTAGCACATAAAGAGTACTAAATCATCCATGTGTTTCGTATGATTATGCCCATGTTGGGATTCTAGCTTGATAGACATCCGTCAACAATGCATCATTCAATGACAGACCTGTAGTTGTTTTCGCTAACGCATCAAAGATCACCCGTAATTTTGTCGTGAGACTGCTTTCTTTTAGAACTGCGTGGTGTGGAATATAGTTGTAGCCATCGTTATCCGCTTGACTCACCTCGGACATGTGATTCAGCGACTCATAATCTTGGAGAAACTCATGATAGGCCTCATACAAATCGTGATCCGCGACGAGTTTTCTCTCCAAAGTGTGGAATCTCCGTTTTGCGTTGTTGAAAGGATCACCTAGTGCATTCTTCTTTGAGTTGAAAGGAAGTCCCACAGAATTGCGATCGTTTTCATCTCTCTTGAATGTGCTCATGAACTGTGCTTCACATTGCTCTTCTTCAGGTGATAGTAACCTTTTCGCTGGAAGCTCTTCAGTTTCCCAAAAACGTTGTACTAAATTATCTTCAAAATTACCTTTTTAAGAAAAGGTAAAAAAAAAAGCGCGCATGTACCTTCCATAAAAAACTGTACTTTACATAAACTAAAAAAAAACTGTTACATAAGTAATATAGTTCAAGTGGTAATGTTGTTAAAATTTTATTATAAATTACCCCTCAGTAGTACGTATGCATGTATTAAAAAATAAATGAAATCAAATCTTTAAATTACGCCAATTGCAAAACGAATATATAATTTCTTGCAACGTATAACATATACTATTGTATTTTGTAAATTGCGAAAAGAACATATATTTTATTGCAAGATATAACATTTAATTAACGAGACAAAATGATACGTACCTTTATCTTTTTATTCAAGAATCTTTCATATTTGCAATGGAATACAACATTTAATCTAAAAAAAATTAAAGACGAAGCATCACAAAATGAGAAAATTTTATTAAATAAAATTTTTTATGTAAAAATACTTGGCGCGCTGCTAGACCTCAAAATATAATAAGATGATCATCAAATAATATCGAATAAAAAAAATAATGAAGAGATTAAGTAAGAAAATGAGGTGGACTAACAATATACTGTGTGTGTGTGTTGCATTATATGTTGCAAGAAATTATATATTCGTTTCGCAATTGGCGTAATTTAAAGATTTGATTTCATTTCTTTTTTAATATCTGCATACGTACTACCGAGGGGTAATTTATTATAAAATATTAACAACATTACCACTTGAACTATATTACTTATGTAACGGTTTTTTTTAGTTTATGTAAAATACAGTTTTTTTATGGAAAGTACATGCACACTTGGCGCTTTTTTTTTTACCTTTTTTTAAAAAGGTAATTTTGTTAAGATATCACGCATTTTGTAGTGTTAAACATCTTATATTCTTATATGATTAATAATATATCTCTTCACACGTGTGCGTATTACTAGAACATATTATTTATTATCAACATTTTCTTAAAATAATGTAGAAATGTTTTTAGCAGCTCTAGGCCATTGCTTTTTTGTAAGTTGCGTATCATCAGCTTCAATCCAAGGTGAATCTTCTCTATACATACTTATAAAATGATCGGTTTCAATACATGAACCATAATGAAATATAGCATTTATAACTTTATACGGCTGTCCAGCTATTAGTATTGCACTTGTTGGAAGAGCACATAAATTAATTTTTTTTGGCACCTTCACTAATGTTCCATTTTGGCATGAAAATGAAATTAAATGGATGATTATCTGTTTCGTTTCAATATTATTTTATTTTTAAATAATATATCACTTCCCTCACAACATTCACATAATTTATTATTTGATTTAGATCAATGTGAAAATCAAGTATTTAGTAAATTGTTAAGATTAAAACTTTCCGTGTTCGAATTGTGTTAACAAAAATTGAGAAAATAAAATTATTATTAGTAGTAATTTTTGTATCACCACATGTTATGCATCGACAAGTAGAAATAATTTGATGCTCAACCAAATTTTCTATAAAATCATATTTAGTACAAAGAGCTACAACAAAATCAAATGCATCTCGTTTAATACCAGTCGAAAAATACGGGAGGGCTCCGATTGCACACATCGCATATTGCACACATGTATCGCTGATTGGGCAATTTAAAAATAAAATAATCTTATTGGCAAAACAGTGAAAAATTACTAGGCAACAGTTGATATGAGTGGTGTGTACAATCAGAACTGTAGGCAAACGGGATCCTCCCGAAAAATACTCCCCTAGATATTTTCGTAATGCGTAGGTATTCAAATTAAGTAGGTACATATTCCGTTTTCATATCGATGCGCTAATATATATAAAACATTTAGTTTATCAGAATTAAATAATTGTTTTCTAATAATAATTAAATGAAATAAACATTGTAATGTAGCATTGGCATAGCATGAAACTTTGTCAGTATTTTGAAAACCACGTATAACCCAAGAAGTAATATTTTGTCGAACTTTTTGATCTGACTGTTGAAGGGAAGTTATTATTTTCGGTAATGTCCATGGCACATCTTTAATTTTACGATAACTGTTTTGAAATAGTAATAATAATTTGTGCTTCTGGTTTATGTAGTCGTTTAGCCGATTATATTCAATAATTGCTTCTTCACTAGTTATTATAGATAAAGAATCATGATTAATCAAATATGCGTTAATGTTCACTTTTTTTGCTAATTTTACTTTAATTTTATATATAAAATTAGAATTCTATGAAGGCATTGTGAACAGCAGTTTAATAGACAAAACGCTTTATGTATGTTACATGTATGACTGAAAAAATTTGAAAAGCTGAAATGGTCCCTTTTTGGGAAATGATCTCCAGATCTCGGTATCGGCTGCACCAATTTTATTCGGGCTGATCGCAATCGATAGATACCGACGACATATAATAAAAGTGTTTTTAGATCTTTGATTGCGGCTTTAGTTTCTGAGTAATTTTAATCTAAAGCATATAAAAATTTAAAACGGACCGCTTGACCTCTTAACGTGTGAACGTCATCTCCTATATATTCATGCCGTTACCAAATTCGCGAGGCTATAAACGGCATGAATATATACGTAATGATGTTCACACATCAATCGGCCTGTTTTATATTTTTATACTTTTAATTTAAAAATAACTTATTAAAGTATTAAAGTAACTGTACAGTGAAATGTCGACATATAATACAGTGCTAATAAAACTATAGATAAATAAGTCGGTAAATGACAGCAATAAACGAGTGCCATTTACCGTCGAAAATATGAAAAGGAGATGACTTTTTGAGGCGACATATCTTACATAAAATTTTGACATTTCGGATTTCGCATCACGATATCTCCGTTCGTGGGACACGTAGAGGTAAAATAAACGTTTATTATATATTTCGGACCCAAACTGCCGATGGAGCTCATATTCAGAACTCGATCGGTCTAGCCTTTATTAAAAAAACCGAGAATTTCGGATGCTCGGATGCCCGCAACTCGCTGACTCGCGTAAAGACACGCGTGTCTCGCGCTGCGCGTTCACTTGGCACGAGACACTACCGTGTCTCTTGATCTAGGGTATCCCGTGAGAGATGACAGAGTAAACTGTGATTAGGTCTTGCCACGCACGCCTTGCCTGCTACGATCTAACCTAATTGAGTGTTCTGTATAATCATTGCTTGAGATTTTAACTTGACTTGACTTACGCACAATAAATGATAAAAATATTCCGCTCCAATTAATATATCTACCGATGCAGGCTTGTAAAATTCAGGGTTGGCAAGCTGTACATTGTCTGGAATTCCAAGCTTAGAATGATCAATTGGTTGTGACGGCAACCATGCGGTTATGTTTGAAATGACTAATAGCTGCAGATCAAGAAAGAATGCATTGCTTCTTGATCTTATGATAGTGTTAGTTGAATGTTTAATGTGTGAGAGTGAATTGCCTATGCCTTGAATTGGAAGACTGATAGATCTCTTTGGAAGATTCAACCTATCACACAATTGACTTGAAATGAAGTTCGATTGTGATCCTGTGTCTAAAACAGCTCTGCAAGTATGAAAATATCCTTCCGCATCTTCAATATCTATCATTGCTGTAGACAGAATGACTTGAGAGGAACTCTTGAATCTAGAACTCAAAACTTGCGAAGTTGTTGCGTGTGATCGTTGCATTACTTGCTCTGATGAATTGTGATTCACATTATCCTTTGTGTTCATGTCAGTAGTCTGTGTCCTTGAAGGATGCAATAAAGTGTTGTGTCTTTTCTCGCATTTCTTACAATTGCCAGCGTTGCAAGAACTGACTTGATGATTGGACCTGAGACAATTGAAACAAAGACCAGCCTTCTTGACTGCTTCTAACTTTTTGCTGTGATCTAATTGTTTAAAGCTATCACAAAATATAATACTATGATTTTTGCTACAGACATGACACTTTGATTTCGATTGTGCTTCTAATAAAACTTGATGAGCTTTATTGGTTGCCTTGCTACTATTGGACGTTTCGCCTGCGACTGCCTGCAACACATGACACTTGTTATGTAAAAATTTCCATAAGTCATCGATATTTGGCAACTCCGTGCCATCCAAAAAATTTTCCCATTCCCGATGTGTGATTTTATCCAATTTAGATGTGATTAAGTGTAGAAGCAATCCATTCCATTGATATGTTGGCTGCCCTAACGCCCTTAAAGACTGAATGTGTTTTTGTGGGGTATCAATCAAAGAGTTTAAATTTGACATAGCTTTCTTTGTAACAGCAGACAATTCGAATAACGCTCTAACATGATTCTGTATGACGATTCTTTTATTGCTAAATCACTCTGATAGTAATCTCCATGCTATTTCGTAGTTTTCATCTGTGGAAGCGAGTGAATGTATTATTTGTGCTGCACTGCCCGATAAACAAGACTTTAAATAATTGAATTTCTGCACTGGCTGAATTTTCAAATTGTTATGCACTAATGCCCTAAAGTTATCTTCAAAACTAAGCCAATCTTCATATTTTCCATCGAACTTTGGTAAAGTGATGGATGGTAATTTAATGCTTGATTCGACCCGTGCAGAATTCATTGTTATATCTGATGTGCTATGCGCAATTGAATCGTTTACATTGTTCGGAATTGAATTTCTTAGATGATGCTCTAGTAATGATTGAGCTCTGGCAACATATTCAAAATAATGTTCTTCAAATACCTGTTTTGATGCTTGGTCATCTGTGTCTTCCCCTATTTCTATTTCTAAATGAATCTTTTCAAAATCTGTTAACAGAGTTTTTGCTCTTTCTAAACGCACTTTGAGAACCTTTACGTCGGTATTTGCATTGTAATTATCCAAGAAATTCTTGAATCTCGTTAGTGAAGACTTAACTGAACCACGGCGTTTTTTCAAACTGTTTAGATCTTCTGTCATTGTGATTTGGCTTGCGTGATTACTGGAATATTGCTAGTTGGTTGGACTTACCAAATGTGTTTGTTGCTACGCTAGTGTTAGTCGCTATGCCTATCTATTTCTCGTGAATGCGTGCTGTTACTTAACAAAGATGAGTTGATCTCTTTTCCATCACTCTAATGCGATAGTTGGATTCGGTGAGCGATCACACCTCGAGTATTAATCCTTGTAAGGAATCGTGACGAGCAGCTACAACGGAAACGTAATCCTAACCTCTCGATCGTTCTCGAAAGATGCGGCTCGTAGGACCAAAAATGTTCGTGAAAGTGGACTGTATAGAAATAAGATGACTAATATCAATTCTTGCTGTATTTGACTCAAAATAAAATGTTCGGTTACATTTATAAATCCGTATCACTCGAGATGCGCTCGCGTGGAAGAAAAGAAAACAACTAACTTTCGGCGCTGTCCACCGGTGGGAGAGATGCCACTAGGCATGACTGCCAACGCACAAACAAAAACAAAAAAAAATAAAAATTGAAACAACCTGACTTCGCGCGGACGTAGCTCGTCGGTCACGGGCTGCGGCCAGGG